ACCTGTTCTATAGGAAAGGTTGTGATCTGGCGCTATAGAGAAAATATAATTTAAAAAAATTAACTTGACCTTGCGGGCCGCCCCCCTAAAATAATGGAAGGGGAAACACTGTACCCTTGAAGGCATAAAAAAAGAATAGGTCACAAGAATCCCCACTCACCGCCAGCGCAATCTGCTGCACCTGTATACAGGTAGGATACTCCTGCATGCAGCACAGGATGGCTTTAACACCGCCCTCTGTGGCGAATGAGACCCTCCACTCGTATTTCAGCATCAGACTGCGGGTCAGCAGCAGCACAGTGACAGCGTTCTGCTTGGTCTGACTGCCAATCATCTCCACCAACATCTTTAAGACTTTGTCACTGAAAAAGACAAGAAAGTTATTTTGAAGCCATTTGCAATATAAACTAGAAACCATGTTACATTACTTTACATTAAATGCATGTCAATGGTGAAAAAGTTCTAAAATATAATCACTATTATTGTAATTAAAAATTATTTTTTTTTACATTTCATCAGAATTATTGTACTTTAAGATAAGAACAAATCAATGCAACGCCAACTCTCACGGTTTGCTCGCAGATTTAGTCAGCGAAGGGCCCTATCATACACCCGGCGCAATGCAGCGCCAGGCGTGACGCAAGTGTTTTAGCTAGTTTCAGCCCGACACAATTATAATTTTCATGTCCAGCGCCATGTTGTTTAAATAGCAAATGCTGTTCGCCCATGGGGCGTGCTGGTCTGAAAACGAGGTGTGTTCAGGCGCGTTCTTGGCACGTTGCTATTTTGAGGCAACTGAAAACGACTGCGCCATTGACCAACTGAAACCTGGTCTAAAGTCAACGCAGCAGTATTTTTTTATTTATTTAAAGGGTGCGTTAGTAATATCCGCCTATAGGTGGGTGCACAATGCACGTACACTGCTTATTACACACTCAGGGACACGCAGCAGCGCACAAACATGCCAAATATTACAAATTAAAGCATTACAATGTAAAAGATTATTTTCGCGCCGACCGTTTTTTCCATTGTTAAACTAGCAAAAGTGTATTCGTACATGACCTAAGTGCACCTGCGGCATGCGCTTCAGACCATGTGCTTATATCGTTAAAATAGGGCCCGAAGAGTGCAAACAACTGTGTGAAAAAACAGACTGGCTTTAATACACTTTTATTTTAAGCAGAATATCTCAATACATATAGCCAAACTCTAAATTACACGCCGGTGTTTTCAGCTCATCAGTGCTTTTTCTGTAATGTAGAGAGCGCATGCGCATTGTTT